AAAAGGAGAGTGGTGAGAACTAGGGGATAGAAAAAGAAAATAAATCAGTCTTGGAAGTTTTTTGAGTCAAAGAAAGTGAATTCTAGTGTTTTGGAAAGAAAGAGTCTAGCCTCTAAGTGAAAGAAAAAAAAAAGAAAAGAAGCCAAAGAGCTCAAATGTTCTAAAAAAGAAAGAAGAAGAGGCTAGATGTTACAAAAGAAAGTGAAAAAGAGCTGTGTAAAGTTTGAACTCCAAGACTTGTGTATGAAAAGGAAAAGAGAATCCCCTAGTGAGAGAAGAATGAGTGTGAAAAGTAAGCAAGTGAGGAAACTTTGAGTAGAGTGTGGGGTGGGATGAGTCCTTGCCCTTGTATGCATAGGTTGTCTTTTACCTTTAGCATTCTGCCAAAGTTTGGTCATTCATAGAGAGATCCTTTTGCTGCATTGAACCCACTCAGGCATTGATGAGATCATTTTAGTCTCATAACCTCACCCTAGCCAAACTCTGTTTGTTTAAACAATGCATCATTTGATCCACTTGGTAAAAAGCTTAATGAATGTTAAAGAGTTGAGGAATAGGAGAACTTGTGGAGATTACTGTTGAGTTGATACACCAAAGTATGGTTTTGCATTGCATATTGAGCATGAACTTGAATTCTCTTAGTGGTCACTTCTCTCAAAGGAAATATGAACTCCCATGCATTCAACCTCTCTCTCTCATTTTTTTGTTTGCTTGAGGACAAGCAAAGGACAAGTGTGGGGGAGTTGATATACTCACATTCTGTCATGTTTAGGATTGCATTTTTGTCCAAATATTGAGTCTCATGCATATATTAAAGTAGTTTTACATATATTTGTCTTTGCTTTTGTCTTTATTTAGGAATTGCATTAGGTCCTAGAGATTTTTGCACTTTTGGAGTGTTTACAGGTCATTTGGAGCTAATTGGGAGCAATTGGGACAAAAGACATGGAGAGACCATCACCTTATGTGCATCAGACTCGGACAAGTGTTATGGAGCCGACGATCCCTCAAATTTATCACCTGAGAAGGAGGGCGTTCACCAGGATTCAGCCTCCAGAGTCTTCATAAAGAATCAAGAGCCTTGAGTCTAGTTTCCAGAACACTTTAGATCGTCCTATTTGGAGTTTTGAGCTGAAAGTTACGGCGATACGAAGCAGTACATGTCTCGGAGCGGATAAAGGACCAAAGCAACGCGCATCAAAGCACCGGTGGAACGGAGCCCTTGCCGACGTCATCTGAACCCGAACCCTTCATCAAAGTTGGAGATGATAGAGTCACGGTCCCAGAACAGGTCGAATCATTGGATTTGGAGTCGTGAGATGAGAGTTAAGGAAGGCGAGAGACATACATATCAGCCAGACGTCTAAGAGTGGGTAAGGTGCTAAGTGTCATGATTTGACACGGTGATAATGCCACGGCCTGAGCTTGGCCGTGGCATAATATGACAACTCTCGCGATTTGACATGGTCTTGAAGCACGACCTTGGACCTGACCACGACAAGCAATGAAGATCTTTGACACGCCCATAATGTCATGGTTGGGATTTGACATGGTCTTGAAGCACGGCCTGATGTTTGGCCGTGGCAATCACCGAATCATCAACACCTTGCCACGCCCAACATGAAATGGTCCAGATCAAGAACGTGGCAATCCAAGAAGTTCATCACCCAAACCCAGAAAAGAAGAGATGTGGCCACTAGACATGGTATAAATCAAGTCATGGCAACCTTGATCATGAAGAATCTGTCCAAGAACTTTGACACTGTCAGTTTGCCACGGTCTGGCCAAGCATCTTCTGACCGTGGCAAACCACACCACTATCCATCAAAGCCGGGTCAGGACCCAGTTTTTCCTGGGCTGACCCGGTCCGCAAGAGACACTATATATGCTTTTTAGGGTTTTTTTCCAAGGGAAGGGCTTGGTTTTCTCTTGTTTCTCTTTCCCCTTTTGTAAAAAAACGAGTTTGTTAAGAGATATCTCAAGGATTTAATCAATCTAAATCTGTTTCTTATCATCTCATCTTCTTATATTTGCTTCTAATCATGATTAACATCACCTCTTGCAAAGGGAATGGTGTGTTCATCATGATTAGTGAGTAGTCTTCTTTTAAGCTTCTAGGTGTGTAGATTAGGGTGCTTAGATGTAGATTAATGATTGTTTAAGCTTAGATTCTCTTCTCCTTTCCTTAGTTAGCTGATCCTAATGCTAGATCTCTCATTATAAGCTTGATCTAGAGCTTAGGCATTTCTCCACCCACAAGGTGTTTGATGAAATGTCTGAATGAGCTAAGCTAAGGGTTTATGCCTTTTTCATCATGGGAATGATTGTTAAATGCATGAATGACATATTAGAACTGTTTCTTAATGCTCATTGATTCATATTTCACAAATGATGATTTGGTTTGAAAATGGATTAGTGCAGAGGTTAGTGCCTTCATGAGAGGATTAATCTAGATTAGAGTTCTAAGTTAATTGGAATTTGAGATCATGTGATGTTTTCTTTATCTTTCTGTATAAGATTCAGTCTTTCTTATCTCTTATTTTGATGCACAAAGAGGCTGTCTGGTCATTTTAGACTTTGAACCTTATGCTTGTTGATTGTTTATTCATCTAATGGGATTTAGCCTTGAATTGGTAATTAACAAAGGGATTTTTGTCATGAGAATGAATTAATCTGATTTGTAAGTCTAGACTAAATAATTGCAAGTGTTGCATTGTTTGCTTAGCATCATAAATTCACATTTAAAGCACCCTGGTCAATGATCACATCTAGAGGTTTAGCTTTCTCTTTATTTGAATTTGAGTGTTTGTTTAGGTTCTCTTGCTTGTTTAGTTCTTAATTACTGCTTGTTCTTGTTTGCTTTATGTTTTTAGATCACCTTGTTACCAACTCATCTGCTTATTAGACTTGAGTTAAGATAGCTCCTCATAGTTCTAGTGTCTAGAATCTCTCCATTTGGATTGATACCTCAAGTGCTACAATGACATGAGTAGTTGAGGAATTGATCAAGGATTGAAAAATTTCTACTATCATGTTGACCAAAGTATCGACCAAGCCCATGGTCGATATTCTTGTAAAGAATCCTTTGCAAAAATGTCGACCAAGATATCGAGATATGACACGTCGATATTTCTCTCAATCCAGTCCGAATTTTAGGGCCTTAATGGGCCGATATCCTGTTTGTTAAGGGTTGGCTTTTAAGAAAACTCTTCCTATATATAGTTTGGAGACATTAATCATTAGGTTAAGCTTTATTCCTTCTAATTTCTTTGCCTCTTTTGTGAAAGAATCCTCTTTGTAAGAGATATCTACTTTTGTGAGTTTGAAATAAGAGAAATCAGAAATCTTTTGTGTGTTTAAAGCTGCAAGATATCTTATCTATCTTCACCATCTTCAATCCCCATCATTCATCATGCCAATATACACTACTTGCAAAGGTTTCAGAGAGATTAGTATGATTAGTGAGTAGTTCACCTAATGAGGTTCTAGATGTGTAGGTTAGGATGCTGAAGTGCTAGATTAGGAGTGCTTAGGACTAGATCCATGCTTTCATCTCTCTAAATAGCTGATCTCTATGCTAGATCCTTGCACATCACTTGTGATCTAAAATCTGGGTTTTTCATGCACCAAAACTGTTTGATGAAATTCCTAAAAGAGCTATATAAGAGGTTTATGCATTAATGCCATGATGATGTTTGTTATTTGCATAAATGATCACTTAGGATTGATTCTTAATGCTGTCTTGTTGTTTGATCTCCAATGATGATTGGGTATGTGAAATGGCTTGATTTGTGTCTTGATGCTTGGGAAAGATTAAGGCTTGATTAGAACCATAAATCATTTGAATCATGTTTCATTAATGTCATTAGCATTCTTAGTTTAGCACAAAAGCACCCTAGCCAACTATCATGTCTAGAATCTCATGCTTCCATCATTCCATATCATCTCATCTTGTTTAATTGCTTGCTTGTTTAGTTTACTTAATCACTTGTCTTTGTTCTAGTTTTTAATCTTGTTTTAGGCATAAATCACCAACAAACTTTACCATTTTGCTTGAATTAAGAAACTGTCTTATATTCTAGTGTCTACCACACACTGGATTGATAAACCCTTTATGCTACAACAGCAAAAGGTATTGATGACCTTTGCTAGAGCCTAAAAACCTCTAGTCATCAATTGGCGCCGTTGCCAAAGTGTGCTAGCATTAGTCTTAGATACTTTCTTGAGATCAAGTGCTTTCTTTTTGGTGCTGTTGTTACTTTCAAGTTCTGTCTTTGTTTTCAAGTGTATGAACACCAGATCAAGGTCTAGAAGTTGTGATCCACCATTTCCCCTGAATGACAACATCAATCTCTTAGTACCAAGAAGAAGAAGACATAGACGTGTAAAGGAAACTGATAGAGAAGCTGATATGGAACAACAGGTTCAAGAGAAGCAACAGGCTCAGCATGGTAATGGAGCTCAAAAGGAATCAGGCTCAAGCTGAGAGGAATGAGCAGCAAGCTTTTGTCAATATGAACATGGCACAAAGGAATGAAAGACAGGCTCAGCAGAATCAGCAACAGGCTAATAGGAATGAGCAATAGGCTCAACACTTTCCACAGTCTCAAGCCCCAAGAAGACAAGAGCCTCAACCAGTTTTTGTTGGGGAGAATGATAGGGCCAATGCACATCCGCATAGAGCAGGCATCCAAGCACCACCTGTTCAAAACAACAATTTTGAAGTGAAGGCCTCTATGCTGAACATGGTGCAAAACTCCAAATTCCATGGCCTGCCAATGGATGACCCTTTGGAGCACCTAGACCAATTTGACAGAGTTTGTGACCTCACCAAAATCAATGGAGTCTCTGAAGATAGCTTCAAACTTAGGCTTTTCCCATTCAGTATATGAGACAAGGCACACCAATGGGAGAAGAATCTACCTAGAGGCTCTATACAAACCTGGGAGCAGTGCAAGCTTGCATTTCTGTCTAAGTTTTTCTCAACTTCTAGGACAGCCAAGCTCAGATATCAAATTTTAAGCTTCACTCAGCACACAAATGAAAGCTTTGGAGAAGCTTGGGAACGATTTCGCAGCTACAAAAATCAATGTCCTCACCACAGCTTTTCAGAGGCATCTCTTCTAAGTACTCTATACCGAGGTGCTCTCCCCAAGATAAGGAACCAACTTGACACAGCTTCTAATGGGAACTTTCTTGGAAAGGAGATCAATGCCGCAATGGAGTTAGTTGAGAATCTTGCGATGTCTAATGATACATATGGAGAAGATTTCGACAGGGCTAATGATATAAGGGAGCTTCAAAGCAAGCTTGACAAGGTGCTTGTGGCAACACAAAAGCCTATGCACTTTGTAGGCGAGTTTGATGAGCAGGGACCGAGTTTCGACAATGTGAATGAAGATGACCTCACACAAGAAGAACTCAATTACATTGGAAATCAGCAAAGGTATCAGAGGTTCAATAACTATGGAGCCAACCAGAACCTCTCATAACGCAACCCCAATGTAGCAAATCCTCAAGATCAGGTGTACCCTTCTCAGCAAAACCAACAAAACTATGCTTCTAAGAATCAATTTTAGAGTTTTTTTCAGCCTAAACCACAGTTCAGTCAGCCTCAGCAACAATATGGTCAACCACAGCATCAGAATCCGGTCAGCAACTTCAGTTCTCAACAGCAACAGCTCAAAGCGCCTCCGCGTTTCAATCAGCAGCCAATGGTTCGGAAGCATTTGATCCAGCAACCGCCAGCTCAGGGTCAGCAAATGGGTCCAGAGTTGTGTGGAATGTTGTAACAGATTCTACAGGGACAAAAAAGGGTTGAAAGTCAGTATACTGCAATGCAACAAGAGATTAGGGAGCTTAAGCAGAATCAGGCTTCTACATCAAGGAATCAAGGGAATCTCCATGCTAAACCAGATCCCAACCCTAAGGAATTTTGCAATGCCATAACCTTGAGGAGTGGCAAAGCATTACCAGAGAGAGAACCTCAGCAAGTGCTCATTGAGGCCAATGAGCAGGTTGGTGGGGAGGAAGCCCAAAATAGTGATAAAGAAGAAGAGGTCGCAAAGAATGACAAAGGAAAAGAAGTGGAACAAGAGAAGATACCTGAAAAAGATTATGTTCCACCACCTCCCTATCAACCTAAGCTCCCATTCCCAGGAAGATTCAAGAAGCAGCTTGTAGATAAAGCAAGAGTAGTCTTTGAAAAGGCTCTCAATGAGACACCACTCACAATGCCTCTCATTGAAGCATTTCTAATGATGCCAAAGCTTGGAAAGTTCTTAAAAGATGCTATCCTGAACAAGACTAAAGAGCCTCAAGGTATGGTGGTATTGAGCCATGAGTGCAGTGCCATCATTCAGAGGAAATCAATTCCAAGCAAGTTACAGATCCAGGAAGCTTCACACTCCCCTATGCTATAGGACCTTTGATGTTTTATGGATGCCTTTGGGACTTGGGTGCCTTAGTCAGCCTAATGCCCTTCTCTATTGCAAGAAAACTGGGGTATAGAACTTTTAAACCAGCAAAAATCTCACTTGTTCTTGCTGATAGATCTGTGAGGTTGCCTGTTGGAATGCTAGAGGATCTACCAGTGAAGATAGGTGGATTTGAAGTGCATACAGACTTTGTGGTTCTAGAAATGGATGAGGAACCACTAGATCCTCTTATTTTGGGCAGGTCATTCTTAGCCACAGCAGGGGCAATCATAGATGTAAGAGGAGGCATAATTGAGCCGCAACTTGGTTGTGAAAGGCTGAAGTTTGATGTTAATGAAATGATGAAGAAGCCAACTATAGAAGGGCAGGTCTTCTATGTTGAGACCATGGATATGCTTGCTGATGAGCTCCTGGAAGAGTTAAACACTGAAGATCATCTTCAGATAGCATTAACAAAGAAACATGGAGATCATGGCTATCTTGAGAATGAAACTTTAGAGCTCATGAAGCTGTTAGACTCTCACAAACCAGAGGAGAGCACTGGTTCTTACTTGAACCTGCATTACGAAGGTCTAGAGGTGGGAAGTGATCGGTTTGGAAGCTTGGAAAGCTCAAGTTCTTGCATTAATATCGACGTGCCCAATCAAGATAACTGGTCGATATTCTGAATCAAAATCCCGAGAGATTATCGACCAAGATATCGACCTGTGGCACCTCGATATCTTCTAAAACCTTGTCTATGTGTGAAGGACCTGAGACCGAGCAAAATGCCAAAAGATTATCGACCAGGATATCGACCTATGACATGTCGATATTTCGGGAGCCCAAAATGTCGACCAGAATGTCGACATGTTACATGGTCGATATTCCTCGGCGGCCAAGAAAGAAATGGGTTCTCAAGAGGGTCAGGAACTGGTTGAAGAGCAAGACAACAATGCTGAAGATGAACCACAAGGAGAACAGCTACAACAAGCCTCTCAAACAGCTTGGGAAGGAGATTGGGATGCAAGCAAGGCACCTAAAGTGGAACTCAAACCTCTTCCCAAGGGGCTCAGGTATGTTTTCTTAGGTCTCAATGAGTCTTATCCTGTCATAATAAATGATAGGTTGTTAGATGAACAAGAGCATGCATTGTTAAATGAATTAAGAAAACATAGGAGGGCCACTGGTTATTCTTTGGATGACATAAAGGGTATCTCACCCAACCTATGACTCATAGGATTCACCTTGAAGACCAAAGGAGACTGAACCCTAACTTAAAAGAGGTAGTGAAAAAAGAGATTCTCAAACTCCTAGAGGTTGGGATCATCTATCCTATCTCAGACTCTAGATGGGTTTCACCAGTACATGTGGTGCCCAAGAAGGGGGGAATGACAGTGATAAAAATGAAAGGGATAAGTTGATAGCTACAAGAACTATAACTGGACACAGAATGTGTATAGATTACAGGAAACTGAATGCAGCTTCTAGGAAATACCATTTCCCTCTCCCTTTTATTGATCAGATGTTAGAGAGACTAGCCAACCATCCCTTCTTTTTTTTCTAGATGGTTACTCTGGATTCTTTCAAATCCCAATAGATCCAAGAGACCAGGAGAAAACCACATTCACCTGTCCATATGGGACATTTGCTTATAGGCGCATGCCATTTGGGCTGTGCAATGCTCCTACTACTTTCCAACGTTGTATGATGTCTATTTTTCGGATCTGATTGAGGAGAAAGTAGAAGTCTTCATGGATGACTTCTCAGTCTATAGACACTCTTTCTCCTCTTGTTTATCTAACTTGTCTCAGGTCCTAGAGAGGTGTGAGGAGCACAGCTTGGTTCTTAACTGGGAGAAGTGCCATTTTATGGTACAAGCAGGCATTGTGCTGGGTCACAAGGTCTCAGAAGCTGGAATAGAAGTGGATAGAGCAAAGGTGGAAGTGATGGTGAATCTGCAAGCTTCAAATTCATTCAAGGGGATAAGAAGCTTTCTAGGCCATGCAGGGTTTTACAGAAGGTTCATTAAAGACTTTTCAAAGATAGCTAGACCTTTGACAAGGCTGTTGTGCAAGGAGGTTGAATTTGTCTTTGATGCTGAGTGTGAGGAAGCTTTCAAGAAGATCAAGGAGGCATTGATCAGTGCACCCATTGTTCGGGCTCTAGATTGGTCTCTCCCCTTTGAGGTGATGACTGACGCCTCAGACTATGCAGTTGGAGCTGTGCTTGGCCAGAGGAAGGACAGGAAACTTCATGTGATTTACTATGCCAGTAGGACCCTTGATTCTGCTCAAGAAAAGTATGCAACTACTGAGAAAGAGATGGTGGCCATAGTATTTGCATTTGACAAGTTTAGGAGCTATCTTGTGGGATCTAAGGTGATAGTTTATACTGATCATGCTGCACTCAGATACCTGATGACCAAAAAGGATGCTTAGCCAAGGTTGCTGAGGTGGGTTCTCCTTCTTCAAGAGTTTGATATGGAGGTCCAAGAAAAGAAAGGAATAGAAAATGGAGCTGCTGACCATCTTTCTAGATTAAGAGTGGATTCTGAGATCCCTCTTAACGACTCTCTTCCTGAGGAACAACTGATGGTGCTCAACCATTACTTGAATTTTGAAGAGGCTGAAAGCATAAGAGAGAGAAGGATGCCATGGTTTGCAGATATTGTAAACTTTCTGTCTTGTGGAGTTGAGCTACCTGAGCTAAGTGGCTATCAAAAGAAGAAATTTTTCAGGAAGATCAAGAGGTATTACTGGGATGAGCCATTTCTCTTTTTGCTCAACAATGATCACCTGACAGAAGGTGTTTGGCTGAAGAGGAAGTACAACCTGTGTTGCAAGAGTGTCATGGTTCTTCTTATGGAGGACACTTAGGTGTTTTAAAACGGTTGCCAAGGTGTTACAGTCAGGTTTCTGGTGGCCAAGTATGTTTAAAGATGCTCAGGGTGTTGTGTCAAGCTGTGATCAATGCCAAAGACAAGGATGTACAAGGATGTACTGATCATTCTTGAAGTGGAACTCTTTGACTGTTGGGGCATAGACTTCATGGGGCCTTTTGTGACTTCATATGGGAATCAGTACATCCTTGTAGCAGTTGATTATGTTTCAAAATGGGTTGAGGCTGTTGCTTCCCAAACCAATGACTCTAAGGTGGTGGTCAAGCTTTTCAAAAGCATCATCTTCCCAAGGTTTGGAGTTCCTAGAGTAGTGATAAGTGATGGGGGTTCTTATTTTGTGAACAAGACTCTAGAGGAGCTGCTAAGGAAGCATGGTGTCAAACACAAGATAGCTAGTCCATACCATCCCCAAACAAGTATGCAAGTAGAGATTTCTAATAGATAGATCAACGCCATCTTGGAAAGAACAGTTAGCAACTCAAGAAAGGATTGGAGCAAGAAGTTAGATGATGCTCTTTGGGCCTATAGGACTGCTTACAAGACTCCCATTGGAATCTCACCTTTTAATCTGTTGTATGGGAAGAGCTGCCATTTTCCAGTAGAACTTGAGTACAAAGCTCTTTGGACTGTTAAGATGTTGAACTTTGACATTAAAACAGCTCAAGAGAAAAAGGTACTTCAGTTGCATGAACTTGAAGAGATCAGACTCAATGCTTTTGAGAGTGCAAGGATATACAAGGAGAAGACCAAGATCTTGCATGATCAGAAAATTCCTAAAGGGGAGTTCAA